TTTTCTGCACGGGCCACAACACGTTACGTCCGTTGAAAGTACTACCCACACAGAAAGCGCAAAGCCCACCCAAGCCGAACTACACAGAGCGCACCAGACCAACTCAGACCACGGCCTAGCTGCAAGCCTGCAGCCCACAAACCCCTTTCACACATCACCTCAACTCTTGCCTCCCTTTCTCCCATACAAACAAAATATCCATCCGCCCTCATAAAATACGGCCCCCATCCCCATTTTACAATAACAGTGTCATCAATCAATAAAAGCCTAAAGATAGGAGGGAGAGGGCTACTACACACATCACTTTCATCTTACTCTCTCTAGTCTTAGAAAAACACACCGCTGATGAATAATAAAGCAAACCAACAAACTCAAAAAAGCGAAAGCCTTGGATGTGATTCCCCTCCTCACGCCAGCTGCATGCCTCAAGGCTCAACCGCGCGTGCTTGCATCCCCTGGGTCAAAAAGAGACGGCTGTGCATCAACAAAAATCATCTCCCCTCATGCGCGCTCACAATTTCCCTTTATTCCAACTTCAATCATTGGGCTCTGGCCCTTTTTCACACTAGTAGTATCATATATATCATACATACACATAACACACTTTTAGATGATAGCAAATAGTACCGGGTACCGGTTCTTGGCTCAAATGGCTGGGGATGATCCCAGCCCTTTTGCTTTCAGCCTCAGCGATTTCAGGTACCGGATGGCTTCGTCGAGAACAGACACTGCATCTTTCCCTTTCCCCTTCCCCTCTGGAAGTATACGCCTCAGAACTCCGATCGTCTCATGAATCTTCTCCCTCTTAACTTTCTTTATACACTCTATGTCATTGCTAAAACAGTTGGTTGAGCTCGCAGTGTCTGCCAGTGAAGAGTCGAGCTCAGATGAGGCCCTGCGCCTTTTGGCGGGAGGAGGCGGTGGCTGCAGCACTGCAGAGCTCGCGACCTCTCCTTCTCTATCATCAAAGTTTATTCCTGTTGCATCAAATGGAGAGTGGCCTGTACTCTCCTCCTCTTCTTCTTGTTCATTATCAGAGTCTGAGTAGAGGAGTGCATCAATTTCATCCGTGTCTTCGTGCATCTCCTCCTTCACATCCCCATTTGAGACATTGGTTTCATTGCTAGCAGGAAGCTGCTGCTTTACACCAGCATTGGTCTGATAAGGGTAGGGGAATTGTGAGCCGAACGAGGTATAAATCAGGTTAGTTCGATCTCCTGATCGATCAAAAACCATAAACCTCTTTTGACCTGAAGCAAACCCAGTAGGGTTTGAAGGTGGCATCAAAGCCGGATTGAGATGAAAGAACCCATAAGGATCAGCATAGGTTGGGAACACCACTGGGTTCGTGCTCTGCTTGGCGAGAGCAGGCGCTCCGACATTAGTAGCACAGTTGAAACTACGGAGCTGCAAATGATCGCAGTCCTTTTCCATCAAAACGGCACCTGAATCATTGATACCAAGATAAACTCTGCTAAATGATTCATCTAAATAGCAACATAAATGCAATAATATGAAAAATTAGAGAGAGAGAGAGAGAGAGAGAGAGAGAGAGAGAGAGAGAGAGAGAGAGAGAGAGAGAGAGACCCACCAGTGGAAATGACAGAAAAAGTGATTCTTCTTCTTGCGGCTGGCTTCTTTGGAAAAAAAAAGTAGGAAAAAGAAACCCAGCTTTATTAACCGATTAAACGACGAACAAGAACTAATCTACGTAACAGGTTTCAGAAGGTGGCGGAAGTATTCAGCCTGAAAAGAGATGAATCAGAAGAGTTAGCACATTACACATACTGATAGAGAATCAAAACAATTTGGCAGTGCAAGTCTTAAGGAATATATACCTGGCAATCTTGCAATGGTTGGAAGCAAGCTATGACACGAACGATGATGGTAGCATTCCCCGCGATCCCATACTCATGTTTCAATGCTCGAAATCTCGTCTGCGTCGCTGCTTGGCACACCATTACTACTCTTCTTTCCCTCTAAACCCAACCAACCACCAGACAACTACTATACCAAACCAATGGTGCAATCCACTTCAAATCAATCCCTTTCTCACTTCAATAGAATCCCCGAAATTCTAAAGTCCTCTTGATTGGATCAAAGCAAACAAAGAGTTAGGCCTAAAGAAACCCTAAATTCAATTTTGTTTGAGCAGAGTAAAGAAGCCAAGAAGACTGAGATTCAAAAGAAAGCGAAAGCTAACGAGGTTTGGACGACGCAGAGGAGTTCTCTTATGAGGGCTTGGATCCCATATAGAGATCAAGAGGAGGAGGGGGGAAATGTCACTGGCTATTTATGAGGTTAAATTACAGGATAACTCGGCAGTACAAGTTCAAGGAGATAACTTTTCGATAAACGTCAACAGAAAGACTCAACCACCGCATAGTGCTCTCTAATCTTTACTTAAAAAAAGAGATTCAAATTCAATTCTTTATGAGAATTACAGCCGGAGATCAACCTGCAGTTAACAAATTCATAGTAGATTAGCTTAAAAACTATCAAAAAATAGAGGGAAACAGTTGATGAATCAAAACACGGAATTGTAACAAATTGCTGAAATGAGAAACGAAGGCAAGGTTAATGAGCTCGAACCCCTCGAAGCAACAATATTTAACGTATATCATTGAAGTACTACAGAAAGTGACCAATACAACTAAATAAGCCTAATATTAAGGTCAAGGTGAAGATGAGATAATATCTGAATTTTAAAAAGAAAAGTCAGAAAACAATACACAAATCTATAATTAAAAAATATATATTTTTCCTACTATATTGCTGAAGTATAAACAGATTGATCGGATCGATCATAAAACTAAGTTAAACAGCTCCAAAAAGCTCTGAACGATCAGAAATCTGAAAACAAAAGTTAAAAAGCCCAGATATTTAAGAGTATATAAAACTCAATAACTAATTAACTCGAATGAGGTTTACAAAGAAACAGAAAAAGTCACGGAGAATAAAATCCCTTCAAATCCCTACAATCAGACATTATCCTAGTCTAATCCGCCTGTAATTAATCAACTTCGAATTAACTCAACTTACAGTGATAAAGGTCCAAACTTTAACCCAAAATCGCCAACTAAGCCGCCTCAATTCGATCTAGAAATCAAAACTTCGAGCTGCAATCGCCGGATCGAGACGAAATTTAGAAGGAAAGAATAAGGGATAAAGGGGAAAATTCACCGAAGGTAGGGGTAGATTGTGAGGACCAGAAGGAGAGGGGATTTTATCACCTCCTTGTGACGAAAACACCCCTGAGAATTTCGGGAATTTACGATGTAATCAATGGTATTCGTATGGAATAATTGCAAGCATGCGTAGCCTTGTAAGCGGTAACAGATTTTGTTTAATAATCAGGTCTGGTCAAATAACCGGTTGACTGGGGCGTGTATCGCGTCCGCAGTCCGAACCCAAGGGCTAGTTCTTTGTGTTTTATTTCTAAAAACCCAAAACTTTACCACTATTCATTTTTAACTCCAAATATCATAATAAATTATTTTTAACCCCAAATATCAAAATATTTTATTTTTAAACCAGTTTTTTCTTATCTCATCTGTATTGTACATGGTTAAGATAGCTAACCCATTAGGTTAGGCAAAATAATGATGAAATTAATTAACATATTAGTAAGATTAATTTTAACCATGCACTCTCTTCTAATCTCTTATAGTGTGGAAACAAACAGAATTATTATTGTTTTCCTTATAAATAAAAGGATTATTTTATAATTTTAAACCCTTGTTTTAAGATATTAACTAATTTTAACCAATACAGATAAGTACTCTTTACCCAATTGTGTTATAAACAAATAACTGTAAAAAATAACTTATTATAACATTTCATGCTGGAAAGTTGAAGGATTAACTTACCTTAAGTTCTCGCTTGACATGTTATCAACTGACACCTAACTATTGACTGAAATAAGAAAGGCAAGGTTGAAAATAACTAATGTATTGTTTTTCGGGTTTAAGATAAACCTTAAGGCCCCGTTTGGCAAAGGGTTAATGAAGAGGGGTTAAAGAGAATGATTAATGTACTTAGCCCATTTGATAATCCGAAGGACTAAATTATTAACACGTTAAATAAGTTTTATTTTAGCCATTATGATCAGTTTTAGTGTTTGGGAATAACAATGATTTTGACTATTTTCTTTATAATTAGAAGGGTTAACTCTTATTCCATCTAAATAGGAGTATTAGTAAACCCCTCATTTTGAGGGGTTAACTCATTTTAACCCCTCTAGAGGGGTTAACTTAACCCTTCTATATTTTTTATGTTTGACAAATTATGGAGGGTTAACTCACTTAAACCCTTATATAGATTTGTTGTGTTTGGCAGGTTAAGAAGGGGTTAAGTCTTCTTAACCCATCACTTAACCATTTGACAAACGATACCTAAAGGTGGATGGGTTGGAAAATAATCAGGGATAAACCTTTGGGTTTAGAAACAAATAAAACCCTACTGCGTGCGTAAGGGGTACAAGTACGAATCTCTTTCGCGGGAAGGCAATCAATGTCTTCACCGCGTATTTCCTATCATGCCCTCGCATTTGTTGCAAAATTACGGGTGTACCTAAGACGTGTAGGTGTGAGTCTGGCGCACTGAGAGCCCTTTGTGTGGGGCCAATTGGCTGTGTGAACTTTGATTAGGTCTTTACTATGATTGTAGTTGTTGCCTTTGGTTACTTCTTTGAGCGTGCTCATTATTTTGAGCGGATGTTTTGTCGCTCTCACACCTAAATTGAGCTGCAAATAAATTGGATTTCGTTTATTGTTAAAGAATTGGGAGGCCCGAATCCAAATATAATGTTCTTTTTTTAATGGAGAATCCAAGTCGGCAAAAATATCAAATTTGATATATTTTGTTTACCCTTAGAAACAATTTAGTATATATATTTTTTGTGGCGACATATTGGCATATTATTTTTTCTCCAGCGACAAATGAGCCTCAAATTTGGTCGGACTCAAGTTTTTAGCGAAATTATTCACGTGATGCCTTACGTGAAGCGAACTTGGTTGTCAGCGTGGCTCCTAGTGACAAATAATTATAACTAATCCCATCCAAAACCACTCTTTCTCCCTAAAAACCAAGAAAACAATGTATTAAAGCTCACCACATTGATAGTCGAGGGAGGATTTGAAGAGGTTAAAGGTTTGGGAGGTGTCGGAGAGGCAAGAGGAATAGAGGAGGGAGGAGAGTGAGAGGTAGTGGAGGAGGAGGAGGAGGAAGGAGATTGTGGGGTTAGGATTTGGGATTGGAGCTTATTTATGACGCTGGCAGCCACGTTTGCACCACGTGAGGCATCACATGAGAAATTTCGCCGAAATTTTGGGTCCGGCCAAATTTGAGTCTCATTTGTCGCCGGAGAAAAATAATATACCAATATGTCACCGAAAAAAATATATATATACCAAACTGTGACTAAGGTTAAACAAAAAATACCAATTTAGTATTTTTGTCAATCCAAATCTAATGTTAATATGATACGAAGTTGACTTCTGAATTCATATCCAAGTATTTGCTTGGCATATAATCTTTTGGTTTTAAAATGAAAAAAAAAAAAAAGAAAAAAAAAGAAAAAATGAAATAAAAGTTTGGGCGCCTGTCATTTAACCCTAAAATTCTGAATATTCATCAAATCTCCAATAACCTTGGGAATTCCAGAAACTTCAAAAATATTTTGTTTTTTAACCCCAACAACTAGTTTATGATGTTTATTACGCAATATTCTCTATTTGCAAACTCACAATATGGGTTGACTATGGTATGGGGGTTATGTAAAAAAAAAACAAATAAAGCAAGAAAACATTTTACGGATTTCTAGAATTCTCAATGTTATTGGAAGTTTGGTGAGAATTTTAAAAATTCTTGGAGGCTAATTGCCAAACAACTGAATTTATTAGGAGTTTAAAGAAAGTTAACCATATAAATATGATCATGGAGTTAGGTGTAGTGTTGACTTAATTTCACCAGTTTTCTTAGGCTTACTTACTTTTGATGTTGTAGATCCTTTTTCTAAATCTTGGGCTTCCCATCTCGAGATTAATACATAGCAATCCTTTTAGAGCCTAAATTATCCACATCGAAAATAACCATATAAAATTTTGTTTCTCTAAGTTCAGTCTTCATGATCTTTCTTTATCTCTTTCTCCCTCCATCTCTCTTTCTTGATCAATCTTGTTTCTATTCTACTCATCTATGGATAAAATCCTATGATCGGCATCTACAATTATCCATTTCTTTCGAAAGTCAATTGATAATAAACATATCCAGATCTTTTCAACTCCAAAAAAAAAAAACAGTAATGTCAGCACTATTTTATCAGTTGATTTTGCAATAAATAATTATAATTTTATTTATTTATTGAATGCAAATTAGAAATTAGTGCAACGCATAAAGATGATATGTATTAAGTTTAGATATGAATAACAATCAGTCACTAAACAATCAACAACTATGATAAAAGAAACTAATGGTCCCGGCCTCCACCATTTTTTACTAATAGAGAGGATCCAAATTCATAATAAACCCTCATCAAAATTTCAACATTAATTAAAATCGTGCATATAATAAAAGGAAAGTCAATGTTTATTTGTGGAAGATAAAAAGAATATCAAATTTAAACTGTCTATCATTAAATCATTACAAAACGTACAAACGCACTAAACAATCATCGCCCGAAGTTTGATGATTTATAGCCCCCAGTATGCACAATCTACTGTTGAGAGTTTATTTGGTTTGCAATTCTCTACGTCACTCTCAAGGGACATAAATTGATAAATCCCCGCTTTTTCCAATATCTGGCCTCATGAGCTCCATCTATCTCTTCCATGTATCGCAAGCATCTCCCTTCCTCGTGTCTTTTTGTGCTTGGATGTAATGGGGATACTCTTTTTTTGACTCACAATCCATTCATGTGAACCCTTTCCCCCCCTTTTTCCATCCCCCATTGCCCACTTGCTTCCACAATCTCTTCACATGTATAATTCATTCATTTCGTGTCTCCCAATAATTTTATGCAACAGGACATTGAAATATGCAAACAAAGTTAATGTGAATAACATGCCAATAATGTTATATCATTTTAGTGTTTCGGGTTAAAGAGAAGGAATAATGTACTTAGCACATTCGATAATCTGAAGGACTAAATTATAACCCGTTAAATAAGTTTTATTTTAGCCCTTGTAATCAGTTTTAGTGTTTGGGAATAACAATGATTTTGATTATTTTCTTTATAATTAGAAGGATTAACTCTTAATCCTTCTAAATATGAGTATTAGTAAACCGCTCATTTTGAGTGGTAAACTCATTTTAATCCTTCTAGAGGGGTTAGCTTAACCATTCTATATTTTTTATGTTTGGCAAATTATGGAGGGTTAACTCATTTTAACCATTGTATAGTTTTTTTTGTGTTTGGCGGGTTAAGAAGGGGTTAAGTCTCCTTAACCCCTCACTTAACTCTTTGACAAACGATACCTTAGTTGGTATATAAAGACACAAATTGTTAGACCCTAGAGGGGGATGATTAGGGTCTTATGCTAATCTAATCCGATTTCATGTTAATTAAAATTAATTAACAAGTTATCCTAGCAAGTATAAAATACAACAAGATATGTGAGCTAGGATAAGTGATATACACAAGGATAAACAAAATAAACAAGATAGTGGATGATATAAATAATGAGCAATGGACAATGGCGACAAGAAATATAAACATAAGAGAAGTGCGCCAAAGCAAACTCAAACACACAATATGATCATGGAGTTCGGACATTCCGTCCTACGTCTCCGCTCTCCGCTCCCGGGGAGAAAATCACTATCACAACCGGGTTTTCTACGCTCACCCGAATAACGTTTACACCTCACAATGTCGGTTTTCAATGCTCACCGATCAACGTCCACACCTCACACTCGGTTTTCTAGTTCACCGAAAACTTCACAATTCACAGTCTCACAATGTCAGTTTTCAACGCTTACCGATCAACGTCTACACCTCACACTCGGTTTTTTCTAGCTCACTGAAAACTTTACAACACTAACAATGTAACAACAAATGATTTGTTCTCTAATACAAGGCGAGAACTCAATTAAGCACAACTCAATGTTACAATCTCTCACAATCCCAATATACTATGTATGTAAATACTAAAAGCTTAATGTGGGTGTGTGTAACAAAGAGATTAATCAAATCTTAAACTCAATATAA